GGCTTTGCTCCCCGTCTCCCTGGTCTGCTGGTCTCCAGCAGACCAGGGAGACTGGGAGCAAAGCCGTGGGGGACCCAGGCGGCGGGACCGCGGTGCGTCTCGGTCCGCCTCCCGCGTCTTCCTGGTCTACTGGGGTGGGAGTGGGGGGCGCAGCTAGTATGCCCTCCCCCCCCAGCTGACTAGGCTTTTCTCAGGACACCTGTGGCAGAGCAGCTGGGGCGCTGCCGGTTGGTCCCGCAGCGCCGCTCTGGGCGCTACTGGACCAACCCAGCAGCACCCCAGCTGCCTGGGGCAGAGCAGATGGGGTGCTGCTAGGTTGGTCCAGTAGCACCCAGGAGCGGCGCTACTGGAGCAACCCAGCAGCCCCCCAGCTGCTCTGCCCCAGACGTCCCCAAGTCAGCCGTTGCTGAAACTGACCAGCGCTGACTACAGAAAGCCTGAGGCACACTTGCTCTGCCCAGGGCTTCCTGGAATCAGCTGCTGATCAGTTTCAGCAGCAGCTGACTTGGGGACGCTTGGGGTTCTTAAGTTGATTCTGTATGTAAGTCAGAACTGGTGGTCAGTTTCAGCAGCGGCTGAATCTGGACGCCAGTTCCGACTTACATACTGATTCAACTTAAGAACAAACCTACAGTCCCTATCTTGTACGTAACCCGGGGACTGCCTGTACTTGATTACGTGAGCTCTCCTGGTTTTACATTGGTGTGAGTTGCCTTCTGATTTATTACTAGGTTTGGAATGTTTAGTTTTTATCAGTAAATGTTTGTTTCATTGAGCATACACAAGCCAGTGGAAAAAAAGATAAGAAATGTATTGATAGGCAAAGTTAGAAAAGTGCTGCTTGAGAACTTATTTAGATATTGTTTACTTTGCATATTTTGACATGTAATGTTGACCATTTGTGTTTTAGTGATTCTACAGTTTTAGCTTTTTGAATCTGAGACTCTGCTTTCCATAACTAGTTATTGTCTTGTCTCCTCCATAATTCTGTCCAACTGTGAAAATTTAAGTAGATAAAAGGGGGAAAATGCTTAAAATAAATCTGAATATTATCAGTCATAATTATTTAAAAAAAATCTGCCAATCTATTGGTTATCAACTTCAGGTATTGAAATGTGTTGCTGCTGCTTGCTACTGTTGAGTTCTTTGATTGTTGTGTAAAAATTCACCCAAACTCCACTTCCAAACTTTGTTGTAGACTCTGGTGTTTGAGGTCTCTTACAGAAGGAAAGCTGATTCAGATGGACAGAGATTTTCCCTTCATGACTTTACAAACAAGAGATTAGGCTGTGCTGCATATTTTGAATCTGGATTTTGGACATCCCAAAATTTAGGACTGTTCAATACAAGCATGTGCTTTGGGTCCCATTCTGTGGGGAAGCATAACTCAAGTTTGGGTGTGTTTGTCTCCTTTGAAAGGCTACTGTAGAACATTCACTTAACCATCTCTGTTTTCCCCAAGCTTAACTTTCCAAGTCTTATCACATTTTGATAGCTTTATATTATCTCCATTATAGTTCACCTTAGTCCTCACATCTCTGTATGGCTTCCCTTGCCAATAAACGTCACAAAAAAACCTTGCTGCTCTTGAGTTCTTTAATGACAGCAAGTGCGTATATGAGCTGTGAGCTTCTTGTTTGCATGTATGTGAACCAGGGAGATTCTATTTCTTGCAGAGAGTTGGTTTTGATAAGATGTGGTGTGTAGAGTAAGCACTGCCAATTTTGGTAGGCCAGACTGGTGTATGCAACTTTTACACTGTGGTTTGTTTAGCTTTTACCCTGCATATTCACGGGATCTAAATAGACTCTTGCTGTCTGTGCTGTGGTTGGCTTCTAAACCAGTAACAGCATATCTCCTTAATCATCTTTTGAGGGAAAGTTATTTTTTAAAGGAGAGCTGTCCTGAATAGCTGCACTCAAAATGGCAGATTTGTTGTGAGCATAACATGTAGTGAGCCCCTAGAGGTTTTTTTGAGAGGGCAGTGAGCGGAGAGGTGCATGGGGTCATTTTTGGTTTTCCTGACCTAGGCCTCTTTTTCTGTTTTGGGACTGAAGTGAGCCACGTTTGGCTTTCTCCTTAATATGAAAATTGTTTTGATTGGATTTCATGAAAGCTGGAGCAGAACTGGTTGAGCCATTTTCAAGTACAAAGAGTAAGGAAGAAATGTAGGTATAATGCCATTATCTGGAGATCTAAGTCATTCTTTTTTTAACAGCTCTACCAATGAAGTGGTTGGAACATATCAAGGAGATGTCAGATGTAGGGATTGCTTTGTCATGGTTGAGTGCACAAGCTCCTTATAGTTGGCTTTGAAAAACATGCTGCCTGTTCTGAGTGCCTCTTGGCTTTTCTGCCCCTGATTCCCATAGTCTGCACTGGTGCTTCTTTACTGCCATGTCTATGCTACGGTTACTATAGTGGCATAGCTGTAGCACCGTAGCTGTGCAGCATAACCACATAGCATAGCTGCAGACTGCATACATGGAAAGGGATTTTCTGTTGCTTTAAGAGCTCTGTCTCTTTCCATTACCAGTAGCCCAGTTAACTAGATTGCTTTTGTCAATCTAAGGTCATTCACTTTGGAAGTTAATTTGGTTTCACACCCCTGAGTGCTGTAGCTATATCAGTCTAACTTTTAAGAAGAGACCAGTTCTTGGTCTCCTTCTGTGGCTTTACGCCTACACTTTAAGAAACTTAGGCTTTCACAGAACCATAGCCAGCACAGCCTCTTGCATGTGCCTTTGTTTTGGGTGGTGTCGTGTGCCTTTGTCTGTGGGAGGGGACCACTGTTGTTTCAGTTACCTGGTTCATAAGGGATGAGGCAGGGGCTTTGAGCATGCATCTTGTGCATGGTGCTGAATAGCAAATAGGTTCGCAAGATGGATTTTTTTGTTTAAAAGAAAACAACAACTCTATAAAGCTTTTTAAAAAATGGTGGTAAGCTAAGTATTCCAAAGTGAGGAAATGTTTAAGGTTGCCTGCCCTAGGCAGTCTTCATGAGGCCCCTTTGTGCTGGAGTTCTGCCTCTTCAGTGCACAGACAGGACCTGGCTCAGTGAACGAGGCAGGGATGCAAAGTGAATAAAATGGGTGCAGAACTCTGCCTTTTTGAACAGTGTCTGTTTGCAGTTGCCACTGTGCTTCTCTGGAGTAACTAACTACTTGTTGGGTGACTCTAAGAACACATTTGATGGACAGCACGGGTGATGTATATTGGATCAGGCAGAGGCTTATAGAGACTGGTGGGCCCTGGTTAGGTATCATAATGTGCAAAAATTTTCTTAGAAGAATAGATGGTTTCACAAACTGGGAGCAGTTTACATGGGTTTTGAAGAGAGAACTGGGTCGGGCAACTATTTTGTCTATTTATCTAGGTTCTTATGAAGGCTCCCATTTCTTCAGATTCTGTTAAAATCATGTGTGATACATAATCAAATTCAAGTTTTTGAATACTTCTCTTTTAAGATCTGCTGCAAATGCGTTCCTTCAGTTCTCTGAAAAATTGTACTTTTCGACAAATCTTTCTTTAATTTGGTGTCTTTATTTGCCTGAAATTACAAAATGTTAGATGAGAATTGTGTTTTCATTATCAGAGATTTTACAAAATGAAATTACAAAATGTTAGATGGTTGAAATGTGTTTTCATATTCAAGTTTCATTTGGTGTCTTTTATTTTCCTAGTATAAGCACTTACCTGAGGGCCCTATCCCACCAACAACACCCAAATATGCATATGGGCAAGTGGCAATGCAGAAGGTACATGTTCATTTGCTACCCTGTAGAGGTGGGTGAGTGTGTGTGTGTGTGTGTGTGCGTGTGTGCGTGCGCGCGCACTTCTTTCTTTGTAAGGAACGTTTTTATAAAGGTGAAATGTCCATCTATGGGCACCGTAAGGAAGGAGGAGAGAAAAGAAACTTGGGAAAAAAGGCGTCTTGGGTAAACCCTCTTGGGAAAGAGGATATAGAGCACAGGAATAGGAAACAGGCATTCTGACTCCTCTTCCTGGCGCTCCCATTTTCTTGCTATGTGAATTTAAGTAAATCAGTTAACCCCTCAGTTTCCCTTTCTGTAAAATCATGATAATTTTGCTAAACTCTTTGAGATCTATATATGTATAATATTGCCCATTACTGAATCTCTATTAGCTCGTGTCTTCTGGGACCACCCTAAATGAAAATGCAGAAATTAAATGTTTCATAGAAACGACAATCCAGTGACGGTAAAGCAGCACTGCCCGCTCTATCTAAACATACTTCTGGTGACACAAGTGGGAGTTGCAGATTCTGGCATCTCTGAGAATCAGGCTGCAGGAATTTTTAATTGGCCTATTACTCCATAAATATTGGCCCAGATTGCCTGAGGGATCATCTCTCTGATAATTATCTCCCATAACAGCTACTTGCCACTGGAACAATGAGCTGTCAGGCTCAAGAATGAAACTTGGGTGCAGAAGAGGCCTTGCTTTATAGGTGATTAATTCATTAACCTGGATCTGTTGCACAGAGAGGTTGGCATGGACTTTAAACCTCAGTGAGGTCAGAGCAAAACACAAAACCTGCTACTTTTACTTGGTCTTACCACAGTCCGCCACGGTCCCTCCCACTTCTCTTCCTCTCCAAAAGAGTCCACTCCTTGTTTGCTGGAGGAAAGAGAAATAACTTTCTTTTGTGTATACTTGATAATTTTGGGAAGCACTCGATTACCATGGTGATGTGCATGGCGTGGAGCTAGTAAATTTTAAGATTATTGCATGAATAATCAGCTTATATCCGGGCTACTTTCTTTTAGTTGTCACTCTGTTTTTATGTACAAAATCGATGATTGTATGTGAATAAATGATTGATTGATATTCTATGGCACCTGTAGAAATGATTGCATACATTAAACATTATAGCACTTCTCATTTTTGAATGTGCCTGTGCAAAATCTTTCTTTTTTGTTATTTTGAATGACCCAGCATTGTATTGTTTTCTTTCTACTGTGACTGTGTATAAAATGTATATCAAATTTTACTAAAATTAAGTATCATTTTTAGTGGTTTTTCTGCAACATTGTGAGCATTTGGCTTCAAATACTGGGAAGTACTTGGAATTGTCAAAGTAGAATGTACACTGGGCAGGTGGAAACAGTTGTATAAAATACAGTAGACTAAAATTCTTATTGCTCATATTTAAAAACAAAACCAAACAACTTGAGTCAGTTGAGGGCATAATGCATATTGTGTGCATCCTGACCAACAAGTAAAATCTTCGAGAGAAAAGCATAGTCTGAAAGAGAGCTTATATCCTCTCAACAAGAGATCAGATGGGAACATAAGTGTGTTACCGTACAACTATATTGTAGGGTTTAGTGGACAGATTCAGAAAGGTATTTAAGCACCTGTAACCTTGTGCATTGTCTTAATAAAATCAGTGGACTGATCACATGCTTTAATTTCAACTTGTGCCTAAATATCTTGCTGAATTGGGACTGGTTTCAAAAATAAATGTGGTTTCAGTTATTTTAAAAGTCCTATTAAAGGGAAAGTCCTCTTAGATTATGATACCTGAGAGCCAAATTTCGCTCTGATTTGCCTCAGATAATATATTTGGAGTAATTCTTGGAAATCACTAGTCACATCAGATTTACACCAGTGTAACTAAGAGTATTTGGACCATGTTGTTGTGTTGTCTTATTTAGCTACTAATTAAACATTGACTTTGATGACCAATGTAAATCTACTTTTCCTGCATTGCAGCTAGGCACTGTAGCAGAGCTTCTTAGTGACCTCTCGCCTGCTGGACCAATAAAAAGCACTTATCCTTTAACTTTTGTTCAGCTGAAGCAGGTAAGACTTCCTCATGCAACTATTCGACAATCATTTTGCAAATCTTATTAAATGAAATTCAGCCTTGATTGAACTGCACTGGCGTGAAAGGTCTTAAGACAGGTCTGCACGTGCTGCTTTAAATCTTACAGCTTTGTAGTTCTCTCAGTAGTGATTCCCAGGTTTCTTGTGTGGCAGTCTCCTCCTCATTTGTGACACCATCTGTTCCTGTGGCTCCTATATTTTTCAAAGACCTGCAAATCCATGGATATCTGCTTTATATCTGTGGGTATCTGCATCTGAGGATGTGAATGCAGATCTCTGTGGATTGTTTTTGCACATACAGATGCAGATGTGGATACAAATTTTGAATCTGGAACCCTTCAAATTTATGGATATCTGCTTTATATCCACAGATATCTGCAGATCATTTTTGTGGATACGGATTTGAATCCACATTGGGACGCACATATTTTTGGCATCACTGTTGAATCTCACCTGGAGTTTATTTGGCTGATTTTTCTCTCTTCCTTCCTCTTTTGTATGTATTTTTTATATCGCTACTTTCCACTTTTTATTTCTTCCCCACTGTCTTCCTCCCTTGCCCTTCACCTCCTTTTTAGTCTTTTTGTGAAGCGTTAGGTTGAGTCTTTCAAAGATCCCTTCCAACTAGGGATGTAAATGGGTAACCGATTACCTGGTAAGCATCACCCTTACTCGCCATGCATTACTCCTCTTCTCCACACTCTGGCTGTGTCCAGACTCCATGCCTCCGTCGACGGAGGCATGTAGATTAGCCAGACCGGAAGAGGGAAATGAAGCCGCGATTATTTTAATCGCGGCTTCATTTCCCTCTTCCGGTCTGGCTAATCTACATGCCTCCGTCGACGGAGGCATGTAGATTAGCCAGACCGGAAGAGGGAAATGAAGCCGCGATTATTTTAATCGCGGCTTCATTTCCCTCTTCCGGTCTGGCTAATCTACATGCCTCCGTCGACGGAGGCATGTAGATTAGCCAGACCGGAAGAGGGAAATGAAGCCGCGATTATTTTAATCGCGGCTTCATTTCCCTCTTCCGGTCTGGCTAATCTACATGCCTCCGTCGACGGAGGCATGGAGTCTGGACACAGCCCCAGCTGGGCTTTGCAGCTGTTAAACTCTGTCACTTGCCTTGGTCTCATGTGGGGCCATCAGGGGCATACAGGGAAAGGGGTTGCCCATAGAGGTCACATCCTCCCTCTCTTTTCTTTTTTTCCAACTGTGTGTGCTTCCAGATGAATACACTGGTAGTCACGTGTGATTGGCTAGAACTGCCATGCTCCCACCTCTGCTGGGAACCAGGTTAAAACCAGTTTGTGTGAGACTGTGGTTAAGTTGATGCAGATTTGTTTCAGTCTGTTTCATTTGTTACAGGACCAAATCCAGCTGCTCTGATTTTAATATTTCATATAAAAATGTTCCTAAGTGTTGCAGTGACATAGCAGCTAGTTCTCTTCTCTATGGGCAGTACCTGCATCAGTTTTTCGTTGTAGGCAGTGTTTCTGCTAAGATTTTCCATCCATGAGCAGGGCGAGTTTTGCTTTGTGCACCAGCAATGTGGTCATGTGTACTTGTTCAGATGTGTGCCACTGCGGCACTGCTCCCCAAGAGACTCCGAGGTAGCACCCCCCCCACCCTCGTGGGGAAAATGTGAGACACATTCTCCCCCTCCCCCCCCCCAGGGTGTGCTGCTCCCTAGGCAGCCTGTGTGCAGGGCAGGGACTGCCCCCAGGCTCTCCTACTGGGGTTGGCTGTGAGTCCCCACCTGGGGCAGAGGGAAGCTGCTGCCAGTGCCCAGGGTTTACAGGGAGTCAGGTGCTGGGAGAGGGGCAGTGACGTGTGGGGAGCGGGGGGACCAGAGGGTTGGGGGGACAGAGGGCTCTGAGGGCCAGAAGAGAGGAGTGGGAGGGAGCAAGAGAGGTGCAGGGGGTCCCAGCCCCAGGAGCAGTCGCAGCACAACCCGGCTCCAGCTTTGGTCAGCCGCCATGCAGCCCACCCCGAGAGCAGTTGGGAAGCCACTTTGCAGGAAGACTTGGATTTCCCCCGCCGCCTCTCTGTCGGGACGGGGGGAAGCAGGAGCTGGTTTCGGTAGTGCAGGGGAGAGAAGGTTAGGGGAGGAAGTGTCACAGCAGGGGTAGCAAGCACCCCCACCCCCTACTGACTAATTGAATAGTTAATAGAAATTCCATTGACTACTCAATTAGCTGATTAATTGAAATATAACCTGAAGACTTGGATTTCCCCCGCCGCCTCTCTGTCGGGACGGGGGGAAGCAGGAGCTGGTTTCGGTAGTGCAGGGGAGAGAAGGTTAGGGGAGGAAGTGTCACAGCAGGGGTAGCAAGCACCCCCACCCCCTACTGACTAATTGAATAGTTAATAGAAATTCCATTGACTACTCAATTAGCTGATTAATTGAAATATAACCTCCTTAGCTGGAGCTGACCCTGGGAACAGCCCCAGCTACTGGAGCAGCTCCCCACCATCACATGGCTCTGGCCCCCTGCCACACAGCTCCCAACAGGCCCCTGCTCCCCCCAGCCACCAGAGCGGGCTCCCTCTCCCAACACCCGCCCCATGCCATCTCAGCTGGTCCCATCCGCTGGAGTAGCCACTGAAGGTGAGTGCTGCTGCACGGCTCTGCAAATGAGGTGGGCGCGGGCGAATAATTTCTTGTGCATGGACGCACAGGGGTGCACCTTAGCAGGAACTATGGTTGTAGGGTACAGTTTTTAGCTTGTTACCTAAGCTTCAGTTGCAAAGTTTTTTACATTTGTCATTTTTATCAGTTTTCAGTGAGATAATCAGTGGATTAAGTTCATGACCGTTTACTCTTATTGTGGTGCAGAGGAGGAAAAGTCTTAACTGAGACCTTCATCTTTAAAGTTATGTAAATATGAGTAGGAAACTTTGTAAAATATACATTAAGTATTAAAGGTTGAGAGAACCTGTCAGGCTATCTGAAATCATTTGTGATTCATACTCCAGACAGGTATGAAAGTTGAAATTACTCTAATATGTAGGCAGAAATTCTGGTTACTGGTTTCCATTGTGTGACCTCAAGTGTAGCCTCAAAATAACTTAGTTCTCTGATTTTTTTTTCTTTTAGTATTTTGGGTTTGTGCTGTACAGGACTACCTTACCAAAAAATTATAGTGAGCCAACACCACTCTTTTCACCTACAAATGGAGTCCATGATCGTGCCTATGTCTCTGTAGATGGGGTAAATATTGACCTTACAACTACTGAGATACATATCTGTCTCTTGCCTACTTTGGGTGGCTATGATTAATAATTGTATTATGTACTTTATGGCTTTTTTCCCCATGTATCCAAATACAGTTTAGATTATTTAATTTAGTATGAAATGTAAAGAGAAAGAAAGGGATCATACAGTTGGTAGATTCTGCACTTTAGTAAAGCTGTTAAAACATTCTGATCTGTACACCCCATTTCTATGGTCAGCTTGAAAGTCTTACCCTTACTGTCAAGACAACTGAAAATTTGTACTAGGGTCTTCATATGAGTAGGAAAAAAAATCCATAAACTGGGCTTGCTTACTTCTGGTTTGATCAGCACCTGCAGATTGTTTCAATTGATTACTGCAGAAAAGTTGAGCGTACATATTTCCTTGTGACATTGGTTTGACCGCAAATTAAAAAAAAAATTTACAGGATGTAGATTCCTCCCCCGCTTTCCTCTTTGAACTGTGTGCAGCACAGCTTTGTTCCTGTTCAATAAGGAGGAAAGTCATTTTATAGGTTGTCAAAGCTCAGCTTTCATTCTTTATTCCAGTGTATTGAATTTGTATTTATATATCATATATCAAGGTTGTATAGTAGAGTCTCAGTTGGCAAAACCAGACTGTTGTTTGGTTTCCTGTTCAGAATCTTAAAGTTTTTTTAAATAAAACCATCAGAGCTTAATCTGAGAATGAGTCATATTTTCACCTATAAAATATGCAAACATATTTTCAGTTATCTGACCAGACCGTGACAACTTGTTGGGTTTTTCAGGAATGAAAAATCTTTCAGAACGTTGAAAATTCAAAGCCAATAGAATTAGCTGAATGAAGTTTAACACATTTTTTAGGAAACTGATAGGATTCAATTATTTGAATAATGGACACCAGTAGTTAGCTGAATATTTTACTGACCAATGTAAATGATAGTTGTGGGGGTTGAGTTGAGCATGGCAATGTGGGATATTTTCCTCTGTACAAGTAGATAATCCAGTGTCATAGCCTGAGCATTTTGGTTTTTTTTTTTACCTTTTGATTTTATGCTTACAGGTTCCTCAGGGAGTCCTTGAAAGAGGCAAATCATACATGATAAATATAACTGGGACGGCTGGAGCAAATCTGGATGTGTTGGTAGAAAACATGGGTCGAGTAAACTATGGTAGATACAACAATGATTTTAAGGTAAACACAGTCACTAATGATTATGCGATAGAATTTGTCAAAGCCCATCAGAAAACAGCTTTTTCGTCTATTGGTAGAAAAAAATTGTAATGCAATAGTAAGATTTGGGAATATGCTAGTGCAACTCTGTGTAACTCAAAATACAATTAATACTTCTTTTTGGAGACCTGCTGTCATTGAGATGAAAGTGGTATTAAAAAGCAGACAAATACTCGTAACTTTTAGTGGCTTTATATCACCCACAGGGCTCTCCAGAACACTCAGCATCTCTTGTGTATCATTTAAGGATGCATGAACCAAATCAGATTAATTAAAAACAACTGAGATGTCATCTAGAACTCAAGATCACTGGTGTTTACTAATCTTCTATATAAAATCTTAATTTTTACTTTTGAAATCCATACATGTCCTGGTTCAGTAGCAAGTGCTGCATTCTTGGAGAATTTTTCAGCATCGCTGGATGAAGGATACTCCATGCAAATGTTTTATCTTGCCAGATTTCCGGCCAGGTTTGAACGGATGAGATAAGGGTTGGTTATAAACCTCAAAATCTCTGGGTGCTTATTCCAAAGCACATTTCTAAACTTAGCTCCTCAGTAATGGGAATGTGAAAGTGTAACCGTATAAACGGTTAACTGATGAGCCTGGACTCATTGGTTAACATTCATGGTTACACTCCAGCTCCTTTTTGGCAGGCACTGGCTCAGGGGAACCACCTGCCACCCCAGTACTGCTGCCTCTGACCAGAGGCAGCAGCACAGGGTGGCACATGGAAGCTGGTATGCGTGGGGAGCTGGCTTAAAAAAACATTTCCCTGTGCATACTGGCTTCTGGGAAGCCAACTACCACCCTGTATGTAACTGTGTAAGAGCTGAAAATTTCAGCGGTTACATGGTTACTTAATTGCATGCAGTTTAACATCCCTAATTATAATGTCTCAAAATTACATTACTATGAACCAGAGGAGGGGGGTGGTGGTGGTAGCAGCATAAGTTGAATTTTGGTGAGCATCAATCTTAGTGTTGACCTTTAGACTTCTTTTACAGGTGGGGGAGAAATACTAACAGGACTGCCTTTTCTGTTATGTTTGTGCTGTGCTGAATGGAATTCCTTTTTATGTCTATATTGTGCTTAGCACAATAGGGCCCTAATCCCTGATTTTCTCAGATTACTGATAGAACACAAATAATAGTGGAGCAGTAGCCATGAGCACTTGGCCCAAAGAAGGGAATCTGGGCTCAGACTGCAAGAGTGACTATTGGAGACCCAAAAATGCGAGTAGCTTCTTTTTCTTGAGATCTAGCTTCATATGCAGATTGCAGTGGGTTTTAAGAGTCCGCATTTGATGCTCCCTGGGGGCACATTTACCCATACCAAAAAGCTATAAAAAATACAGACACACACAACAGACCATTGCAACTTGGGAAAGACCAGGGTCTGAAATGGGACTGCTACAAGCCAAGACTGAAGTTCTTCAGAAGAGCTGCTCCGTGTGGAGGCTTATGCGGCTGTTTGACAGGATTGTGACCAGTTGCAGTCAGATTAGCTTCATTGGCATGAGTATGGCTTTTGGAAGAAGAAGGTCATCTCTAGTCTGCTTCAGAAGTTGACCACCTGGCCATTAAAATAGGGTTCCTATAGCCTGACCTGTGGCATTAGGTAATCCTGACCACTTTTCCCAAAATCTTGTTTTATCTTCAACTCCTCATGGATATGCAGGACACTTAACAAGGCTCTTAAGATTTTGGTAACAGCTTGCAGCCCAGTTTAGATGTGAGGGAAAATGCAAACCACCAGAGAAAGGATAGAGGAAGAGAAGGTGCCACAGCAATGAGATTAAGTGGTTACTGAGCAAAGGCGTATGTGCAGAAGGAGGAAGTAGATATTTTTAAAATACAGGAAAATAAATTGGGGGCTGCATGGTGACCCCTTATCATCTGGATATGACAGTCATCCCTGTTAGCCACAGGACCTGGGGAATTACTGGGCGGGGTGGGGGCCCTGGCTCAGGATGGCAGCAGGGGTCAGGTCCTCCCTGCACTTACCATAGCAGTCAGGCAGCCTGCTCTGCTGTCTCTCTCTCCCGGCCTCCTGTACTCAGCTTCACCATGGCACCACCATATTGAATGGGAAGGGAGCTTGGGGTAAGGGGTCCAGTGAGGGCACGAGGGGGTGGAGCAGGGGTGAGGTTTGGGGGAAGAGGTGAGCTGGGGCGGGGCCTGCAGCGGGGGTTTGCTTATGCACATCCCTACTGGTAAGTTTCCTAGGCTCAAGGCTTTCACTAGCTTTAGTACATGCTGCAGTACAATTTTACTTGCCCTGTCTTGCGTCTTTAGAAGGTGCTAGTTGGATTGAGCTAGCTAATGGGATCTAACAATACATCTTTAAATCCTAGCCTGGGCAGGGTGGGGAGCAAGTGTATGGTGCTTCTGGAAGCCAGTGGATGAAGATCCCTACAGACTGAAGTCCTTTGTTTACTGAACAAGTGTTGTTTGGCAACAGTAGAGCCAGTTCATCTGATCGGAGTGAGAGTAGCTTAGCGTATTACTGCCAGGAAGGATGAAAAATGTTCTGGCAGGCTGGCAGTAATGTGTCCCCCACTTTCTGCTGTGAAATAGATGGAATATTGGAGAGATACCAAAAGACTTGAAAAAGGCAAATGTAGCCCACTTATAAAAAGGGAAATAAGAACAACCCAGGAAACTGCAGACCAGCTTAACTTCTGTACCAGGAAAGATAAAGGAGCACATAATTAAGGCATCCATTTGCAAATATCTAGGAAATAAGTGATAAGCAACAATCTGCATGGATTTGTCAAGCACAAATCATGTTGCAGCAACCTGTTAGCTTTATTACAAAGCAAAACAAGACTTGTGGATAAGGGGGGAGCGGTAGATGTGGTATACCTAGACTTTAATAAAGCATTTGATACAGTATTGCACAACTTTTTCATTTATAAACTGGGAAATGCAGCCTATATGAGGATACTATATGGTGGGGGCGCAATTGGTTGGAAAACCCTTCCCAGAGAGCAATAATCAATGGTTCACAGTCATACCTGAAGGGGATAATGAGTGGGGTTCTGCAGGGACCAGTTCTGTTCAATGGCATAGGCAATTTAAATAATAGCAATGAAAACAGGTTCAGTAGAGATGTATAGTATAGAAAGAAATCTGAGAGTACATAAGAGGCTGCAGAAAATTGAGATCTTTATATAGGATTTTCCAGATACCTATGGAAAATGTGTAATGTTTACCACAGCAAGCAGAGTCTTCTCTGCAAGAAACAGCAAGAAGTTAGGGGTAATTTATACCAGTGTTTCTCAACCAGTGGTACAAGTATCCTTGGGGTACTCGAGAGAAGTCTGGGGGGAGAGGGGTACGTCAACACAACTGAAATTTGGAGAAAACTGAATTTTTGTTTTAAGTTTTACAGCGCTTTATTATTTTTGTACTTTTTACACCCAAAATTTCATTGCTCGCCCAGCTTTGATTAAGTTGTTTAAACAAATGTGTTGCAATGGTAGAAAAAAAATTTGTCTGAAAACTGTAGGTACTTGGGGTACGTGTGTGTGTGTGTGTGTGTGCGTGTGTGTGTGTGTGTGTGTGTGTGTGTGTGTGTGTGTGTGTGTGTGTGTGTGTGTATGTATTAATTAAAGGGATACTTTATAAAAAAATTGAGAAACACTGATTTATACAGTAATAATTGAAGAAACGAAGAAAAAATAACTGTCTAGTCTTTTTCTTAAATACCTTTGTCTTCAAAGCTTTACTTGAGGGAGCTGTGCCACAAACCTTGCAAAAAGGCTTGCATTTTAAAGCAAATAAGAGCTTTTATGTTTCCTTTTTTATTAAGGTTTAATAATGTGAGATAGAATTAAGTATCTAGATTTTGGGGAAGTAGCTCAAAATATTTTGCATTTGCGGATCTGTCTTGTTGTTGAAGGAAATAAAGGAAGGAAGCAGATCTATTACTAGTGTGTTATGTGCCTCTTACATCTTGTGCTGTACATTACCTGGAGAACCTGTCTCTCTCTGTCTTAATGCATGTTAGAAAAGTGCTGATTAACATTTTGGCTGTATGAGGAGCTGTGGATACTCAACACCTTTTGAAAGTCCTGGTATAAAAGTGCCTAAATGTGGAAATAGGCAAGCAATTAGAAAACCTGGCCAAACATACGCTGCATGACTTGAATTCTCCCATGTACACAATAGAGCATCACCACTATAACCAACCCCCTGCATGGACACACTTATTTTGCTGTAAGAGAGGCTTTGTTCAGTTTAGCTTATGTCACTTGGGAAAGGGGTTAAATCATGTTGGAAAAACTGTTTTTATGCCGTAATCAGTGTGTCTATGGTGGTATGTTGAATTTCAGTCCTGAGATGTGGCCTGCATAGGATGGCTTTATTGGTTTGCTCTAAGTGTAAAATACAGTAATAGAAACTGTCGTAACAACTTTTGTGGGTAGAGCAGGATTTGATTTTTGAGAGAACTTCAAAATCTGCTTCCAATATATCAAATATATCCTCATTTCTGTCCCAGTTCAGTGTGATACTTAATAACGTGTTTCACATTAAGCATATTAATTTCATTGAAGTAACATGGACCGCTGTGCTTAAAGTTAAGCGCATGCTTAAGTACTTGACTGGTTTACTGCTTCAGTGTGAGCCTTGGAGACCTGACTTTGTGATACTATGTATGAGCAACAATAGCTCTGTGGGAAGCCAGTAACACTGTCTCTACAACTATGTAGAGTGACTCCGTGTTGCCAGCTCTTGTGATTTCCTTAATGCACCAGTTCCTAGGGAAAAAAATGATTGTGAAAATTGCAGCTTTATTTTTAACACTGTTTTCTAGCCTCTGTGGTTTTCACAAAAGAGTTTGACCAAAGTGTATGTTAAAGGCTTAAAGCCCAAAAAGCAAATAAAAACGAAGAGTTCCTTTAGGAGGATTATTTTATTTTTACTTTTTTTAAGCTGTGGGATTGGACGCATGAATTTTGAACTCTTGGAGTTGGCAATTTCTCTTAACTGATTTTGTATTTAGGACAGTAGGAGATAAATAACTGTAATGAGATGAGATTATGGATTTTAACACTTTTAATCTCTTTACAGGGTCTAGTGTCAAATTTATCTCTTGGCCAAGTTACCCTCGTTGACTGGGAGATGTACCCACTAGACATAGACAGTGTGGTGAGCCAGGGCTTAAATAGCAGAGACGATGAATCAGAAACATCTGGTGGTAATCCCTCAAGCTATGCAGCACCTGCTTTTTACATTGGCAGATTTTCTATTCCCAGTGGAATTCCTGATTTACCCCAAGATACTTTCATCAAGTTTCCTGGTTGGACAAAGGTGGGTATATTTTTCTAAGATGCTTACCCAAAAATCTGAACCTGATAGTTTTGAACAATCACATTCTTGTTACCTACCTCTCCTCCGCTAGCAGCAGGCAGTTCGTGACCTTTAATAGCAATTGGAAGGCGACTTTACAGTCACTCACATATATCAAATGATCCTATAAGTGATTGGTCTGTGGATTGTACATTTTAACTGCAGCAATTGGGATAGGAAATTAAGATGAGGGAAGCTCATGTTAAGTAGTCATTCAGTGATGCTAGCTAGGCAAATCATGTGCCATGTAAGGTATGCAGCTACTGTAAATATATTGAGTAGGACACACAGATATGTGTATTCAGGCCTATTTAGAATACTGCATTCAGTTCTGGTCTTATTTCTTGGCGGCTGCAGAGAGCGCCACTCTCTGGACAAGGGAAATGAATAAATGCTTTTAAAGACTGTTCTGGAGAAAGTGAGATACTGGAAGTTGGCCTCTTGAGCAAGAGTGGAGTTTGCCTTGTCTGGCTGAACAGAAGTAATTAAGGATGTAATTGCTGAAGTCTCAGTAGAAAAACTCTTCATGCCGAGGAGCTGAGAAAATAAGCCAGTGTCTTTGTATGCCAGTTTTTGTTAATGAGCAATTTTTAATTTTGGTTAATAAACTAAGTGCAGAGTTCTGACAGACTCAGAAAATGAGACTTGCTAACTCAAAAGGAAGGGTCCAGCGGGAAGAGTCATAACCTAACATGTAACCAGGGTGTGAGAATGCCTAACGTGATTCTAAAAACCTGTCATCTCACCCTCACTACCCACAAAAAGAATCTGTTGAAACACAAAAATCCTGAATGGTATATCACAGCTGGGCTTTGACATGGCTTCCCATTCTGAGCCATGTTGTTCCCCTTACACCTGGGCGTTTGCAGTGGGCAAGTTGCTTGTGTCAACCCATGCTTCCTTTTGTTCAGTGACCTTTGTAGCCCACTGGCCTCATGTCTTTCATCATAACACCTGCTGCAACGGAGGCTGCCATGCCAGCATGTGACAGCAGAGTCCCTGTGGTGGGAAGACTGGTGCTTAATACCAGCCACCAATCAGTTCCTCCTCAGATGGTACTGTTTGGCGAAGTCAGCAGTGCACTCTAAGAGCTCCCCTTGGCCACTAAGAACCTGATAGCTTTGCTCTGCAAACATGGAAACGCTAAATAAATAAATTGTCATGGTGAGATCTGAATGGATGTGATTTCCAACAGAACTCGGTGTTGTTTTCTCACTGCTCCCGTTGAAGCCAGTAATCGAACTTTCATTGACTTAAGGGGGTGCAAGGAGGGCAGTGTTCACCCATCGCACAGCTGGGCTCTTCCTGTTTTGATTACATACCCCAATTGTGAGAGGGATTTGGAACTCCATTTTAAATCGCCATCTAGCTGGAACTGCTATTAGTTGGTGACGTAGAGCAGTTACCCATCTTCTCAAGGAAATCACTTGGATTCGTTCAGCATCCTCCCCCAGCCATTTTTTCCCCCTCCCCAACAATTCAGTTTTATTTCGCCTTCCCTGATGGAACAGGGTCCTCACTTTAGAAATGGGCTCTACACATAGTTACCTTTGCCTGTAGCTAGGAATGGGCAGTTCACTGATCCCAGGGTATGAGAATGGCCCATTCTGCTTCCAAGGCTTGACCCTTCCCAGCCTGCACAGTTGATTTGGGCTGGTTTGTACCCATTTGTTGGATGTGATATTTATGTCACTGAGGTGCCCTTCTCGGCCTGCATAGTTGATTTGGGCTGGTTTGTACCGATTTGTTGGATGTGATATTTATGTCACTGAGGTAGTTACCCAGCCTATACAAAATTGGGGTCCCTTAAATTTCTAGGGTACACAGACCAGTAAGAGAAAAGAGGGCTTACACTTTTTTTCTCTCAAACTCTCTAGTATGGATGCAGCTATAGGAATTCTAAAGATGCCTTCTACCAATACAGCTGATTCCCCTTCACTTGGGAGAATAAATTATACTGGTTTATGAGGGGGAGGGATAGCTCAGTGGTTTGAGCATGAGAATAAATTATACTGGTTTATGGGGGGGAGGGATAGCTCAGTGGCTTGAGCATTGGCCTGCTAAACCTCAGGTTGTGAGTTCCATCCTTGCAGAGGCCATTTGGGGCAAATATTTGTCAGGGATGGTACTTGGTCCTGCTGTGAAGGCAGGGGACTGGACTCAATGACCTTGCAAGGTCCCTTCCAGTTCTAGGCAATCACCATTCATTTTTTAATTTTTAATTTTTGGTTTAATCTCCTTTATGCTGCTATAACTGCATCCACACTAGAGGAGTTCTATCTCTTTAGAGGCCAGCCCGGACCTAATTTTTCAAGCCTGACCCAGACTTGAACCCCAGCCCAAGCACAGCTGATCCAAACATGATCCACAAATGTTCTGTCATTTTCAGCCCTGACCTAAACCCAACACTCACCCCACCCTGCTTGCAAATTTGTGTCAGTGCTGTCGTTTGAGCTTGGCGTCCTCTTGGTGGGAGCTTCACATTGCCTTATGCCTGCCTGCAATCTGTCTCCAGCTGCCCCTTGCCTGCAGGGTTAATGCAGCAGCAGCCACTGTGTGGCCTGCTCCTGCTGGCTGCTGCCTCGCTGCGTAGCACATACTTTGGAGCAAACATGACGAGGAGCTACAGTGCCTCTTACCTGGCAGCACACAGAGCAGTGAGGTAGGGATCCGAGCTGACCTAAGCCCCAGAGCATTGGGTTGTTTTCCAACACACTTGTAGTGCAAATTTGGTGTGTAGACAAGCCCCAAGTTTCTCCTAGCTGATGGGAATGAGTACAGGGGTTAGCAGTCAAGTGACCAACCAAGTACACAAGGAGAGCCAATAGCCCGCTTGGAGAGTGGAGGTGGGGAGAAAGCATATCCAGGGTGAAGGTTCCCCTTAGTTTCCAGGAGCAAGACCTTCTGGGAGCAGAGACCTGCTGGCAGAAGCTGAGAGACCATAAACCCCTTTCCCTGTACAGGGAAAGGCTTATTGTGGAGTATGCCCTGAGGGCTGGGAGCAGAGACCTGCTGGCAGATGCTGAGAGACCATAAACCCCTTTCTCTGTACAGGGGAAGGCTTATTGTGGAGTATGCCCTGAGGAAAACTTAAGGACAGGGCAAGAGCTTAAATGACTATGGGCAGATAGTTCAGTTATAAGAGGGAACCTGTAACAGAGGGTGGACATTGGCTCCCATCTGTGCTGCTACTATGGGATATGGGAAGATTGATCATAGGGTAGGAAGCTGAGCCTGGTGGCAGGTCTGAAGATTGCTAAGACCCGCGAAGGGAGCTGTGAGAACATAGGGTGGTTGCCACTGGACTTTATTTATAATGCTCTGGAAGTGGTGAATTCTGACTTAGCCAGAGAGCTAAATCACCTCAGTGCTGCAACTCAGTGAAGATTCATGCATGCGAACACTTCAGCTGCCTACAAACCTGTGGATGACTGAGGGGAAACTGGAGCAGTGGAGCTTCCTAATGCTGAACTGGGAAAGCCCTAGCTATCTTGTGGATTCAGCCACAGCAAAGAGTGTAGCTGTATCAGCACAAGCCCCATCGGTCATCAAGAGAAGCTGAGATGTGCCTGGATTGAGGGTTACGTAGGCAACTGGTACAAGTCCTGGCTTTCCTTGGCAACACTTGGGGTTTGCACAGATACTGGTATGTCAGTGGCTGATGGCTCATTTGCGGCTAATCCTGAATGTAGGGAAGAGCTTGGTGGCTGATACTTCTTTTCAAAGAAGGAAGCAGAATAACCACAATGATGTGTTTATAAAAGAAAACATGGATCTTAATTTTTCACTCTTCAAAGTTCAGGCCATTCACAGGATACAGAGCTTTTGTGTAGCCCACAAGTTGAAATAGAGGCCAACTGCTAGATTGTGTATTGGATTCCAAAATTTATTAATTCTCAGATTTTGGATGAATTCAGATCCAGGGTTTTTGTTTGGGACAGAACCATTTAAAAGTGCCAACAGCTAATACTCCTTGGCTAGTTTCCACAACCTTTCTCTCTGCTGTGAATGTGAGTTGAGAGATTCCTGCCAGCCCAGTAGAATTCCTATCATGGCCAAAGATTCTACAGACCTTCCCTATAAAATGTCATGGTACGCTATAAATGAATAGTCATGACTGTGTTTAATGAAAGACTATAATGATTTTGGTAGAGGTTGAAAATAGTCTTCTGTTATGAAATTGTTGCATACTTCATAGCCATTATTAGTAAATTAGTAAAACAGTGGCCAATGCCGGTTTTAACTTCATTAAAAATAAGTAGCAGTTCATTCTGAGTAAGATTTTAACAACACTGTGAAAATAATAATAAAAAAATTAAAGTCTCTACCTCTAAATAAGTGATAGTTGGCAACTCTGCACTATTTCAGTATGCTCTGCATGGTCAATCATTCTTATACTAACAAGCTGCTTCTTTCCTACAGTACTCTTGGAAAAAAATGTTTTTTTTTTATCATCTAAAACTAACATTAAGAAGTAGATTGAAGTAACTATATTAGTGGCCAAGAGTTATTTGGAGAAAATGGCCCTCTGCGTTTCCTCACTTGTACACAGATGGGCTTAGTGAGTGCTCTCCTACTGCATTAATGGATAAAATGACTCCATCTAATAGAAATGAAAAAATATGAGGTTGTGTGGTTACACATGAAACTATCGCATACTTTGCAGTTTAGTATATATTAATCTGCAATATTCTTAGATTATATTCATTTTATGTATTTAATCACTTTTAACAATTGATCTTCATGATCTTCACAGGTTGTTTTTGGTTTTGGTTTGTTTTTTGCCCAGGTTTTAGAAATAATGTTATATTTTTTTCTTCATGAGCGATTTCTATCTTGTGGTTGTATTTATATATGTTTTAATATTTTATATAAAACCAGTAAAGTTTTTTTTAAAAAGCTAATGCTATCTATCTAGCATCTATCAGTGGTATTGAATTTGCTCCTAAGAATTGAAGAGGCTTAACCAAAGTTAAGTTGTGGCAGTGTTGTAACATATCACGTGTGCTGTATCTTTTTTTAAAAAGCACACTGGTTCAGAGACTCCTGTGCTGCAGAAATTAATCATCTGTTTTTGAAAAGGTTTTCAGAGTTGTGTTCACACCTTAGCAGAAGTTTCTAGTTAAATATTTAGCCATATAAAGGACATAAGAGCATAAGAATGGCCATACTGAGACAGACCAAAGGTCCATCTAGCCTAGTATTCTGTCTTCTGATAGTGGTCAATGCCAGGTACTCCAGAGGGAGTGGACAGAACAGAGAATCCATCAAGTGATCCCTCTCCTGTCATCCATTTCCAGCCTCTGACAAACAGAGGATAGGTCTGAATGCATGTTTGTGCTAATACAGGGGTTCGCAAACTTTTTGACATGGGGACCAGTAAATCCATTCATGAACTTTTGGAGGACCTGTAATGTTCATTTGCATATTCATTAATCAAATGATGAATATTCAAATAAGTTGTTTCTGGTCCTCCCAAAACCCCCAGATTTAGCAAAGCTTTTGATATGGTCACCCACAATATTCTTGCCAGCAAGGTAAGGAATACGGATTGGATAAATGGACTGTGAGACAGACAGAAAGCTGGTTAGACCAGGGTTTCCCAAACTTTTTACTTTAGTTGGAACCCTTTTTTTTCGATCCGATGATTTATTCTTAATCTGGTGTCAACTCACTGTGCATCACAACAGCAAGAGCTCCTCAGCACTTTGGCCAGACTCTGACGTGGAAGCTTAGCCCTTAAAAGCAGAAACCCTAATGCCACAGTGTTATGCTATTACAGGAGCAGGCAATTAAAAAGTGGTGGCCTGCCAGGGTTAGTATCTGGAGGGCCACCACTACTAAATTCACCGGCGCCTCTGCAGGCACTGGGTGATCGCAGCTCTCATTGGCTGCAGATTGCTGTTCATAGCCAATTAGAATAGAGGGAAGTGGCATAGACCAGGGCACAGCTTTCTGCTGCTCTCATTGGCTGTGAACGGCAAGCTGTGATCACTTGATACCTGTGGAGGCACAAGTAAATATAGAGGTGGAGGCTCACCAGGTACTAACCCCAGCAGGCCACTAGTTTTGTATTGCCTGCCCCGCAATAGTATAGCAATGTGACAGAGGGCATGGCCTGCCAGAGACTAACCCTCTACACCAGATCCACCCCGTGCCATTAGACGTGAAGGGGAGACTCAGACCGCACGTCCGTAAATCTGTACAGATTCATTAACTTCACTGACCCACAAAATATCGATTTAGAGCTGAACTCCCCAAAAATGTTTGGTTTTGAGGTTTCTTTTGGAGTCACAACCCCTTCTTTGCACGTAAGCTTATCTTAGGATATAAAGCTGTTTTCTTGAAAATCTGAAGGCAACAATATCAGTAATGTTATGCCTTAAAGATGTCACTTTTCATTATTTTTAAAGGAATATATCTTTATATCTGTTAGGGTATGTCTATACTAGCTCGTTAGTTCGAGCTAGGTGGGCAAATGAGGGCAATTGGAGTTGCAAATGAAGCCCGGGATTTAAATATCCCGGGCTTCATTTGCAAGTTCCCAGGCGCCGCCATTTTTAAATCCCTCTTAGTTCGAACTAACTGCTCACGGCTAGATGCGGGAGTTAAACGTTAATTCGAACTAACTCCTTAATTCAAATGAACTGTTATTCCTCGTGGAACCCCTCTTCATCCCCTCTCCTAACACCTCCCTCTACACACCTGCCCTGCCTCTCTCCTCTGGTGCTGGTCCCTCTCCTGCAGGTATCTGCCCGTCTGCTTCACCCCCAGAATCCCCTAGCACCTGCATCCGCCTGGTGCCTCCCCCTTCTCTCACTGCCCCTGCCCCTTTGCCCTCTTTTTCCCTGATACCCACCCCCTCACCACCCTCTGACCCCTTCCCTCCTACTCCTCTGTGCCCTCACACATGCCTTGCTCCATTCCCCACCTTTCTCACGCCCACCTTCTTTCAAGCCTTCTCCCAGCACCTTCCCCTCTCCTCTCCCATCAGCACCCTGTCCCCTCTCCCACTGACACCTCCCCTCCTGCCCTTTCCCTCATTGTCTGCACTTGGCCCCCTGGCATTTGTCTCTCCTGCACCCCTGTTCCTTGGTGTCTTCTCCTCCCAAGCCCCTTCTCCTTCCACCCCTACTCCTCTGCCCCAGCCCCTTCCCTTCCCCTCCGCCACCACCACCTCCTCTCCTCCCCTCCCTCTCCCCCGCCACACAAGCCTGTTCCCTGCCTTCTGCTTTCCATGTTGTGGGGCCGGAGTCTGAGCTCAGGCCCCAGAGGCCGAACCCGGAGGCAACCCCTCAATCTGCCTCCGAGGAGTTTTAAAATCCTGGGCCGTGATGTCACGTCACACCTGGGCGTCCTCCCCGCCCACGTGCAACGCTGTACATAGGCAGCAGCAGCCGGCGAGGAGGAGCTACGCACGGCAGGGATGGGCCAGGGCGCACTCCAGGCAGAGCCGGGGGAGAGACCTAGCTCCACCTATTGGTGGTGCAGGGCCCCCGGCTCTGTAACTCGCCGGCACTTGCAGGTTCAGGGACGCGGGGCCCGATTCGACCCTGCTGGCAGCCACCAGGCATGCCGAGGCCTGGTATTTTTTTTCCTGCGGCCTGGTACTGGGAAGCGCTGTGCTAATAGATTTGGGGGCATATACGGACATATGATTTCATAATCATGCTGCATACACAATCTGTAACAGCTCCTTGCAAATTAACCTTTTAGCTCATATTTTCCAAGAAATGATCTCAAGTAAACTGTCAGACTTAAAGACCATAAGGGACCATTATGATAATTTCATCTGACCTTCTGTATAGGGCTTAGAATTTCACCCACTAATTCCTACATCAACCCACAAGTTCTCATTCAGCTAGAGCATATTTTACAATGATGAATTTATCTTGTATGTGGAATATTACCTTACAGCAATTCTAATGCCATCTGTCATGCTACAGCAATCACAGAAACAAAGCATTGAAGCAGAGTGTCTATTTTTTGTTCCCCTACGTGCTGCAAAAACAAGCCACAAAATGAGATTAATTTGATAAAAAAAAAGTTTGAGGTTGACATTTATTAACACCTTGGCAGAAGAGAACAAGATAGGATCTTAGGTCACAAAGGTAGATGGAAGGTTGAACTCCCCCCATCTGTAAATTTACTATTCTCTTGGAGAAAAATATTAACTTGACACACATTCAGTGATTTATAAAGATTTGAAATTAACTTACAGAAACACAATTGCAAAGTAACCTTCTTTTTAATATTCTGCTAATGATTTGTTTGACTTTAATTTTTAATTGTAATTTCATCTAACTTACAATTTTTCAGAAGTTGCAAACCATGCTGTTTAAGTCCTGTCTTCCTAATGCCTTGCAGAACCCTTTATTTAGTCGTCATTTGGCCCTTGTGCCATGCATCTTTTATTTTCCCCCCTATTAAGGATATTTTATATGGGGAAATACTGATGCTTTAATTCACCTGCTGATGTTGCATTCTTATTTATTGAAATCCCTGTGTTCTGAGCCTGTAACTAACACACAAAGGGCATTCACAAGAGAATGGGGCTGTACGGCATATTAAACCTCAAAAACATGTGGAATTTTCCTTTTTGTTTTGAACTCAAAACAGCCCAGCTCAGTCAAAATGTTCACAAACCCCAGGTTCAGTTTTGAGTAACTGTGGATCCGTTTACAATTCTGCTGAAACTGTATGAAACCTTAAAGTTTTAAAGATGACTTGCAAAGGGTTTTTTTTTTTAAATAGCTTGAGGATGATTTTTTTTTTTTTGCTACTTTATGATGTGTTTAAAAGAGTTTTTTTTAAGGATTTCTTAAGTTTGTTTTTTTAACATAAGAAATATCAACAATGTCAAGCCATCCCTCTTTTTGCAAGAGGGCTCATTGGATGTCAAATGCTTGTGTAAGATCTTGCATTACCAGATGCAGTCCAGGCCTTTAAACTTCTAACAAGAGTGTTTTTCTTCTAAGTCTTAGTAGACACTGGAGTTTAACCCAACAATAACAAAACCCATCAGAAACAGAGTTTAAGACATTCTGTTTAAACAGAGTTTAAAATGTCCCTTTTTCTTGACACTTGCTCAGATTTCTCTGTCATTGTCATTTAACAAGGTCTCCTGTAGAGGCTCTGAGAATAGGAAACATCTGAATTTCTGATGCTCCAAACAAGCTGCAAATAAATTACTTATTTTGCACAAAAACTCTGACCTCCCCCCCATCTTTACCTATTAATTTTGTATAAATATAAAACAATATACATTTGTTTTGGGGTTTGTTTTAACCTGAAACATAAAGGAAAATTCAGGGCTGAGAGAGGGGAGGAAATTATGCAGCTCCCTCTTGAAATAAAACCAGATGGAAGGTTTACCAGGCAACTAAAACATTGAGCTTCACAGATCTCTGCAGAGAATGGCTTTAGGTGAGAGACCAACTCAACAACCCAAAATTCTGTTGCTCCCAAATGTCTCCTGGTGTAGTGTTCATGAAAACAAACTTGCCATGAGCTACTTATTTAATCCTCCCAAGAAGTATTGACTCATCTAGGACATAATTATTTTCTGTCCACTTGGTGTTTTATGAATGCTGCTAATTTTTCTGGCTTGCAAGACTTAATTTTGTAGTATAAATATATTTTCTTCAAAAGTAACATCTGCTTTTTGAATGTTGATGCTGCATTTAATTAACCAAGAAACTATGATTGTTTTGCCTATTTTTAATGTATGTTTTGATCAGGATTTAAATGCTAGCATATTTTAGCTTGATCAAAATACAGTTTGCCCAACATTGTATGACACATGAAGGCTCAGTTCCTCTCCCCAAGATGGCAGAAGTTAAATAAGCTATTGATTTAATAATTTTTACTGGACTACTTAAATGTCTTTTTTGTTTATTCTCTCTTGGCAGGGACAAATTTGGATCAATGGCTTTAATCTCGGTCGCTACTGGCCAGTCCGTGGTCCTCAAGTGACCCTATTCGTTCCAAGCAACATCCTTGTTTCATCATCACTGAACAATATCACAGTTTTGGAGCTGGAGCAGTCTCCTTGTGGCATCCAGAAATGTGCCATAGAATTTGTAGACAAACCTGTTATCAATGCAACACTGCAGTATGGAAGCAACACCCGGAAGCTGTTCACTAAAGAGTTATGGCTGGACCCTTTATGATTATTTAGGAATTTGTCCTTAGCGTTGCCTGTTTTTTTTTCCCTTATTTGTGCAAATCCCACACTCCTCTGGGGAAAAAATCAGTGTTAACATACTTACCAAGTTTTAACCGTGGACACTTTTTTTCAAACCACTGAAAGCGTGTCTGTTTGCAAGTAGGAGATAGTAAACACAGGTCTCCTCCTAAGTAAGTTGCACATAAGATTAGACTGAGATGGAAGATTATATTTAACATCAAAGTCTTAGTAAACAGTTAGCTCTGGGAACTGTGACTGCATTAAAGGAACCTCTTAAACAAGTCACTTTATCATCATTTGTGAACATAGAGAAATTTACCTTGCTAAGAATAAGCAAATTTATCAAACAAGTACAAGTTGAACCTCTCTAGTCCAGCACCCGCAGGACCTGACCAGTTCCAAACCAGAGAATTTTTTGACCACAGAAGATCAGTATTATTGAGGAGCATTACCAACACTTCCACTGCTTAACTGGGCTGTTAGAGGACCTTTAGGGGTAAATTAGAGCTAAATAACAGCACAGAACACTGAGAGCTAGGATTGGTTTCTGTAAACAGACTTTATGGGACCACGGGAAACTGGCCACACCCATCAAAAGTGGACATCCAGTTAATTAAAATCATGCCGTACGATGGATGTTTCCAGACCAGAATGTGTTCTGGACTAGAGAAGTTCAACCTGTGCTTCAGAAAGTTTGTGTATATCAAGTACCATTTGGATTTGACTTGCTTTCTTCCATGTTTAAATACCTGGTTAATGTGGCTAGTGTTTCAGTTTGCAGTTTCCTACTGCCAGCATGGCCAGTTATGCCTATGTCCACTTTGTTTTGTTTTGTTTAAAAAAAAATGTGAAAAATGTTGATAAAAACAAGGGAAAAAATCTGCGTGGTCAAAAAGATTTTTTTTAAAAGATGTTCTACTTTTTTTTTTTTTTTTTTTTTTAAAAGTGGTCTTAGTGAGAATGAAGAAAAACTTTCAATGGTTTAGAACACAAGAAATGGCTACTGTGGACTAAATACATTGCTTATACTTAAATAAGCACAAACCAATATTTAAAAATAGTTTAACATCTCCAGGGTACAAACAGCATACGGGTTTGCTTCTGATATTGTTTACACTGGTTTCATATCCTTGTAACACTGTTGATTTAAAGGAAGATGCTTCCAATTTACAATAGTGCAAATGAGATTAGGGCCTACTAGGGTTGCCAGATGGCTGAAACAAAAATACCAAACACCTCCCCCCAACCCCCCCAAAACCACCGGAAAAATTTTTTGTTGAAGGAAAAAAGGTGTGGGAGGGAACCAAAGTTTGAGCAAAAAAAAAAAAAACCTCCAAACTGTTGATTTAAAGGAAGATGCTTCCAATTTACAATAGTGCAAATGAGATTAGGGCCTACTAGGGTTGCCAGATGGCTGAAACAAAAATACCAAACACCTCCCCCCAACCCCCCCAAAACCACCGGAAAAATTTTTTGTTGAAGGAAAAAAGGTGTGGGAGGGAACCAAAGTTTGAGCAAAAAAAAAAAAAACCTCCAAGGACACGCTTGGAGGGAGGCGGGGGGGGAGAGAGGACTGGCTAGGAAGGGAGCGGTGCTGTCTGGGAAGGGGGGGGGCTGGAAACAGTGCAGCGGTGCTGGCCAGGGGAGATCAGGAAGAGCAACTGACCAGCGGGAAGCACAGCGGTGGGGGAAGGGGGGGTGCAGGAGGCTGGTCGGGGAAGATCAGGAGGGGAAGTGGGGGAGAACTGGCGGGGAAGGAGGCGGGGGGGGGGTGAGAAAATTGGCTGGCAGAGAGCAGGACTGACCCGGGCACTTGCTGCCTGTCCCGCGCAGGCTCCCGGCGGCGCACGAACGAGGAGGAAGCTTCCCCTCCTCACACTCAACTGACCGAAGGCTCCCGGCAGCAATCGCGGCCCTGCTGGGACTCCCAACCGCTCCCCCCGCCCACACTAGGCTTCCGTCCAGTGCGCAGACGGAAAAATCAGAAAATACCAGACATTGCACATGTCCGGTATTTTCTGATTTTTTTTTACCGGACAGAGCGTGCAAATACCAGACTGTACGGTACAATACCGGACACCTAGCAATCCTAGCCCAGCCTACTGTCCCATAACTGTCCAGGTGGAATGTCCATGGAGCTATGATATGACACAGTCAACAATGAAACAGACTACTGAATGCAAATTTAAAGAGATTTTTAAATAGGCCTTAAATGTGATCTTGTTTTCTTAACATGGGCTAGATTCTCCTTATCTAATGCCACAGAAAATGAAGATTTGGGGTTAGATAGTTTTTGCTCTGAGTGTGGGAACATATTACAAATCATGTGTTGGTGTCTTCCGTTTTGTTCCAGTTAATCACTAATCATGATGTAAGTGCCAGATTTTGTTTGTTTGTTTGCAGCTGTGCAGAATCTTTTCTTCTTTTTGTTGCTGTTAATTAAAACTGTCTATATCAGTCAGTGTCTCTACTTATTGGTTTTAATTTAGTCTTGCAAGCTCTTTGAGAAGGAGCCTCAAAGAACAAAGTGTTGAGAGAGTTCATTAAAACATTTTAATGTTACTATAAAATTGCTTCCTTTGGATTTATCCCAAGTGAGTAAAGCCTCTTTCTTTAAACAGGAAGTTTTCCCTCAACAGTAGGCATGCTGAGAGCACAGGGAAGACATAGAATGAGGATGTGTTGACTTTGTAATCTATGTACTACTTATGAATTTTGTTCGATTTTATGAAAATGCTGTATCATTGAATCCCTCTGTTTGTGGAGTCAGCCACATGGTGTCAGACTGTCCCCCATATCCCTTGCACCAGGGACAACGGAGAGTTGTTAAACCTTGATGTGATGGTCACATCCTAGCTAAATCCAACTTTCTCCAAACTCAGTGTGTGGGGACTAGAGTTTGAAACAGTGGAATTTTCCCACAAGCAGAACAGAGAGATCAGGCGTTCACAATAGATCTTAAAAGAACCAGAGACTAACAGTGTGTCTACACAGCAAAGAAGCTCCACAGCAGCAGGTCTCAGAGCCCAGGTCAGTGGTCTTGGACTCCTGCTGCAGGATTAAAAATAGCAGTGTAGCCATTCAGGCTTGGGCTGGAGCCTAGGTCGATGAGGGGAGTCAGTTGACCGGGAGACTTGCTACAGTGGTAGAGCCTTTTGCTGTGTAGAAGTATCCCCAGCTAGTTGGGTGGAGAGACTTGCAGAGACAAGCTTGGCCGGGAGCAGCAGGATGGGCTTTCATGATAGAGTAGTCCTGAACGGCAGGCCCATCCCAGGAAGAGGGAACCTGATTGCAGCGGGGCAGCACTCCAGGCCTGGGAAGCAGCCATGTGCAAGAGGAAGGAGGAGGGACCCTGGACTCCTTAGAGGACTCAGCTCTAAAACCAAGGAATTTTGAAGTGGGGAATTTTTGTCTAGACATGTCTCTTGTGCTAACTAAAGAGCAGTTGGATTTTGGAAGCCTGTCAAAGTATGGATCTCTCTGCCTCCACTGCTGTGTGTCCTGGAAGAGGAGGAATGTAAATGCAGAGTATCCACAAGGTTGGAGCTCTAGGAAATGGTGTGCTTACACTATTGAGGGTCAGCAGTGGTCCTGGAGACCTGTGGCAGCTGGACTGCAGCGTCCCATTTCTTTAAAGGGACTGATTGTCCAGCGGGGGGGAGGGGGAAGTCTATCCGGGTTGTGCCAGGGCACATAGAGTAGTGTGGAAGGAATTAGGTTTAGTATTTACATTTAAGTTAAAAAAATGAATGGCCCTGTAACACCAAAAAATATCCATAGTATCATGAATTTTTGTGGGCACAACCCACTTCTTCTTTGATTTGAAGAATTGTGTTGTGCCCACGAAAGCTCAAGATACCATCAATATTTTTTGGTCAGTCTCGAAGGTGCTACAGGACCATTCATTGTTTTAAGTTTCTTAGACTAACACGGCTATCCCTCCAAGGCTTTTACATTTTAAGTTGCTGAGGGAGGATTTTTGATTATTGTCTGCATTTATAAGATTTATCTGAAGCAAAACAATCAGATGGCTGTGGAGGTCCAGGAATGGTTGCAGCAGCTAATGCAGGAGAAATGCAACTCTCCGCCCTTTCACCTCATGGTGACTGCTGCGGATTTGAGTTAATTGATGGTGTGCTGCCTTTCCTGCCCAGAGATGCATTTGAAGAAAACAGGAACAGAGTGGTACTTCTCATAGTGAAAGTACTGTCCTCCTTGGTGTCACTCTCTTTCCC